TTGCCTTGGACTCTGATTTACTTTTGGATGCTATTTGGAACCCTGACAGCTATCATCATTCTCTTCTGCTTTATAGAATGGTAACCTGATGAGACAGTTAAACGCAAGATATTTTGTAAAAAGACAGCCTCCTGGTTGCTTTTTTCTAGTACATTATGGGAAGAAGCAAGATTTTGGGCTGTACGTTGTTGTTCTTGTTGAATAACCTCGATTTCTGAGAGTTTTTGTAAATAAAATTGACTTGAAGCAAAATTGCTTTGCCTAAACAAAAAAAGAAAAACAGTGGGCTTCGAGGGCCAGCATCAATAACTATAATGTTGCTGAAGACTTCCATAAAACTATTGTATCTGTCAGTTTGTATAGGCATAAAAGAAGTTGCTTTTTGATTCTTGTCCTTATACGCATTTCATTTTTAAATGTGCTAAATAGTCATGCAGTGCAACAGGGGAGTCTGGCCAGTAATGATGGCTTATGCATTCACTCTGAAAGACAAATTGTCCCATTCGGGTCTGATTTGCTTTGTATTTTGCTCCAGGCTAAAAAATTGCCAGAATGGGCAAGGATGAAAGTGGAAAGGATCTCATTGCTTGATGGATGCACAGCTATTTCCAGCCTTGAATTCATGCCATTCTCATTGATAAACCTTTAGATATGCTACGAGTAATATAGAAGTTTCAGACTCAAAAGTTCAAAAGGTTGAGTAATACTGAATTTCTTATCAAAAGTATGCTGGGCTATGTAGTTCTGAAAAAACTCTCCAATCACAATCCCTGCCATGAATTAACACAGACTATTGATTTTACTTATTTATTAAATTTATATCCTGCTCAGCTGATTGTTGAAGTGATTCTGAGTGGCTTACCAAATGATAAAAAATAAATAGAAAAATAACTAAAATTAGTAAGAATTAAAGAGACTAATAACTTAGAGGACAAATAGTAGTGAAGTGAAGTCTTCTCTTTTACCTCGCTCAACTACCACCAACATAAGGGATCTCATTGGAGCCCAAAGCCAACAAGCAGAGTCAAGCTTTAAGACCTTTTTAGAAGTCTAAGAGGATGGGAATGGATCTCATCTCCAACAAAGGAAGGTGTGGAGGGAGACATGATAGAGATGTATAAAGTCATACATTACATACATAGCTAATTGGAGAGAGTTTTTTCTCCCTCTTTCATAATGTTAAAATCAAGCTAATCCTCTGAAACTTGAGATTTAACCAGGAGATGGGACAGATAAATATTAATTCCAATCATCCTTCTCAACCAGCATTTTCCAAGTATGTTGGGATTTACTTGGCTATGTTGAGGAATGGCACTATATGTGGAGGGTCTTCAGCTTAAAAATGATTGATATAAGCATGAAATAAATTAAATTATAGTTTATTCTTTGGTTACACAAATGTGAAGAAAAAATGAATTCTCTTATATCTGGCTTGGACACATGTTGAGTGTGAGTCATCATGCCATGAAAAAGTTCCCCATTACAGGAAAAACAGTTGTTCTGTGCAGAGTTCTTGTCTTGTTTCAGTGTCTGTTCGTGCACTCCGTGCAAGGGGAACAGCCAAATTGCTCGGAGAGGAAGCCAGATGATTGGGTATTAATGCAGCCCATAAAGAAAAGTGCAGTTGTTATGTTTTTTTTTCTCCGTGAAGCTAAGGGGTATGAATGGTGAGGGAGGGAAAAGCCAAGACATTCCTCGTTCCAGACAATTCTGATTCAGCTGCATTGAAGCTACATTCATATAAAAACCTAAACTAGGTAATTTATTGTGTTGGTTCCTTTCCTGTAGGTTAGTATGTTGTGAAAATCCAATGTAATGAGTTTATGGTTTAGTATCATGTAACCAGAATATGTGTTACTTCAATAACTAGCATAATGGCAACCTGCAAGGCATCTCCAGAGCTCCCACCTTGGTGGGTTGATTGAACAAAGCAATAATGTATGGCTCTTTCCCCATCTGTGTGTGTGTGTGTGTGTGTGTGTGTGTGTGTAGTTCTTATTTCTGGATAATTTCAACCCCTAAAGATGATGGAAATGGTACTGTGATGGGATTGTTACCTGTTTGTAGGACTGTACCTATCAATACATCCAGTCTCCGAGGAAGCTAAGTATGGATTGATGTCTTCAAAATGTTTATTTACTTGTTCCTCTGCAGGATTTGGGAATGGAATCGACTTCGCTGGATGATGTCTTATATCGCTATGCCAGCTTTAGAAACCTTGTTGATCCAATCACCCATGACCTGATCATCAGCCTTGCCAGATACATCCACTGCCCTAAACCAGTAAGTGCTTGCTTGCAGTTGGGGGCAAAACTTTGGGTGTGTGATAGAAAGTTTGTTGGACTGAAATGGATGAAAAAGATGAGCTTTTGTAAAAAAAAAAAAAAAAAACCCAGTCATTAGCACAAGGAAGGAAAATGTCTAGTTTAATGAAAAGAAAAACTAGGGGAGACATGATAGCAGTGTTCTGATATCTCAGGGGCTGCCACAAAGAAGAGGGAGTCAAACTATTCTCCAAAGCACCTGAGGGTAGAACAAGCTTGTCTCCAGAAGTTGTGAATGCCCCAACACTGGAAGTCTTTAAGAAGATGTTGGATAGCCATTTGTCTTTCCTGCCTAGGCAGGGGGTTGGACTAGAAGACCTCCAAGGTCCCTTCCAACTCTGCTATTGTATTATTTTATATGTGAAATCTTGTATTAAGAAGAAATGGGTGGAAGATAACCAAGGAGAGAAACAACTTAGACCTAAGGAGAAATTTCCTAACAGTTAAAACAATTAATCAGTGGACCAACTTGCCTCCAGAAGTTGTAAATGCTCCAACACTGGAGGTTTTTAAGAAGAGGTTGGATAGCCATTTGTCTGAAGTGGTGTAGGGTTTCCTGCCTAAGCAGCGAGTTGGACTAAAAGACCTCTAATGTCCCTTCCAACTCTGTTATTCTAAAAACTCTTAGCTGTTGTAGCTAATAAAAAAAGAGGTTGTATCCACAGAATTTGCTTAAGCAGGTTAAATGAAAAACTACCAGTTACATTTCATAACATAGTATGTGCAGTTATTATTAACTTTAATTTTATATATGGATTGCTTATCATAAAGTATAAATTCAGTCTGTTTTGTTAGTTCATGGTTTGGTGTATTATTAGCCAGGTTGATTTATAAATCAGGATAAGTGTGTGTGAACTCAGTCACTGTGTCATCTTGGTAATCCTTTTCATCTGATATCTAACTTTTATGTTGCAATAAAATTTGTACAATCCATAGAAGTTAGGTGGATGGAGCATCTAGCTCAGTGGTGGTTTCCTATAGATGTTCCTACCGGTTCGCTTGCGCACGCATGTGCACTTAAAAGAAACTTGCTTGGAAAGCAAGGAAAACAGCTGAGGAGCGGCAATTCAATCTGCCACCCCTTATCAGTTGGGCTTCAAAAGCTGAAATAAAGATAGGTATAACCCAGGGACAGGTGGGCAGCCCCACTTTCAAAGCAACAGAGAACCTCTCTGTTTGATGGCAGAGCTACCGGTTCGGGAGAACTGGTGGGAACCGGTAGAAATCCACCACTTATCTAGCTGACCTTGATTGATTTCAAAAAGTTGAGCAAGGCCAGACCTACTTAGTGCTTAGATGAAAGATTCCATGAAATCCAAGATTGTACTGTAGTTAGATTAGGAAATTTGTGGGGGGGGGGATCTTAAAAGAAAGAAATTGGAAACCACTGTTGTATTCTTGCCAAGAAAACCACATGAATGTTCCATGAAGTTGCCAGATGTTGAGCCTGACTTGGAAGAGAATTTGCCTTTGTCTGAGCTGCAAAATATCTAAGAGTGTATGCAAGACACACAATTTCTCTGTGGCTCTGACTGAACAGTTTATGCAGAAACAGGCACAAATAAAAATGTTTCTTCCATTTTCCTCCCCATCCTTCAATATCTGATTCTAGGGCTGTAGTTCTTGTTTAAACCGATCTGCATATTTATTTGCCATTGGGAATTCCTTGCTTCAATTTGCTTTGTTAGTGGGCTTATTTCCCTCTTTTTGGGATATTGTGTTCCTTTCTCTGGATACTCACTGCTTGTTCCCTATAATGAGATTATATTAGTCACTGGAAATTTCTCAACTGCCTGGCTGCAAAGGACAGTCTAACATTTATGGTAGGGATTTGGCCTTTTTAATGCAGGAGAGAGAATCCAGGGGTTATTTGCAGCCTGGCTCCAATTTTTTGATGCCTTGTTTGGGCCTTGCTCATTCAATAATTGGTATAATTCTACCCCTAGGCCTCCTTAGAAAGTAAAACTAGTAATTGGATGTAGTCTAAAATGCTGTTGCTGGAATTGTTCCCCCTATCAATACATCTAGGCAAAGATAAGTTCTGGGGCTAGGAAGCAATGTTGCCAATTTCTGGGAAAAGTCCACTTTGTCAAGCCCAGTCTGGCCGCTGTTTTGTGACTAGGTGTGCCTGTGACTTGCTTTCAACATTCTGGGAATGTTTGCCAAGATCAAAATGTAGCCTTAAACCAAGGAAGTGTTCTTACTCAAATAGTGGGGTATCCTGGCTTTTTCATAACAACAGGAAGAGACCTTGGAGGTCTTCTAGTCCTTGGGTTACCAACCTTTTGGACTTTAGGGACCACTAAATTCATAATTTTAAACCCCGTAGACCAATAATATCAGTGGTTTCCAACCTTGGCAACTTTAAGACTTGTGGACTTCAACTCCCAGAGAACTCTAGGAATTGAAGTCCACAGGTCTTAAAGTTGCCAAGGTTGGAGACCACTGAATAATATGATCTGCCTAATGACATGCTGGGTGGGCATGGTTAGGTGGTCATATGACTGAGTGGGTGTGGCCAACTCAATGTCACTCACATCAAGGGGTGCCTCACCAGTCTCTACTCGCCCCTGTCCTCCCAGCCACTCCTTGCCTGCCCACCTGGGCTCCTTAGGGCCCCATCAGGAAGCAATTGTTGGAGCTAAGCAGCCACCACGAGAAAGAGTTGGCAAAACAGCTGGTTCAGTTCAGATTGAATCTGAGCATGAAGGAGCAGAACCACCCCACTGAGTCCTATGAGCATAGGCTTTCCAAGCAAAGGGAAGACCTGCGGGAGTGCAAGGCCAGGTACCGGCGCCTGGAAGCTCAGCGGGCTGGGATTGTCAGCCAGTTCCAGGCCATGATACAGTCCCACTGGAACAAGGTCCTTCAGCTCTTTGCCACCAGCGGCACTTCCCTCCAGCCTTCACCCAAAGCCCCGCATCAGGAGGCTGAAGCAGACTCAAGTCCGAATTTCTTCCCTCCTTGGACCCCTACAAGAAACTCAGCCCCAGGGGATGTAGTTTGAGAACCCCTGATTGAGTGCAATATAAAAAATGCAAATAATTTTTCTGCAGACCACCAAAATTTCTCATGGACCACCAGTTGTTGACCACTGTTCTAGTCCAACCTCCTGCGCAAGCAGGAAACCTTATATACCATTTCAGACAAATATTTCCAATCTATTCTTGAAAACCTCCAGTGTTGGAGCATCCACAACTTCTGGAGACAAGTCACTGCATTGATTAATTGTTCTTTCAGGAAATTTCTCCTTAGTTCTAGGTTGATTCTGTCTTTGATTAGTTTCCATCCATAGCGTCTTGTCTTTTGGTCCTTTGGAGAATAGGTTGACTCCTTCTTCTTTGTGGCAGCCCCTTAAATATTGGAACGCTGTTATCATGTCACCACCAGTCCTTCTTTTCATTAAACTAGGCATACCCAATTCTTACCAACTGTTCTTGATATGACTTAGTCTTCAGTCCCCTAATTGTCTTTGTTGCTCTTCTCTGTGCTCTTTCTAAAGTCTTTTCTTTTTTATACCGTGGCAACCAAAACTGTGTCCATATGCAGGCGAAAAAAAGCTGCTCTTCCTCGGAGTGGATAGTCCTTTCATAACTTCCATTGCATTGTTTATTGATGATTTGGAAGAATAATTGCCATTTGAGTTACTTATTGTAAACATCTAAGTTGGGGAGGTTGTGTTTATTTGAATAGACAACAACTGTATTGATTCTTTCTCCCTTGAGCAATCCTTGGTTTTTCCTCATATGAAGAAGGACGATAGGAGCTTTTCTTCCTGAGAATAGTGAGTGCAGATTACATGGAAATGAGCATTTTCCTAAATGCTTGAAATATTTTTATTCTGCTCTATCACAAAGACCAAGTGCATAAACTGCTGAAGAGCCAATTGAATTGGGGATAAACAAATGACTTAATACAGCAGGTGCATTTAGATGCTTCCCAGCAGAGGCGAAAAAGCAAAAGGAAAGTTGTGTATGTTTGGGGGGGGGGGCACAAAACATCTAGGGCATGATTTTTAGAAATAGGCATGCCCTGGAGAGACATTTCCAAGCTAAGGCATATGATGAAACTTGATTGCTAGGCAATCCCGTGCATTCCTTAAGCAGACATTTATGATAATTATAGCTAAAACGCCTTGATTTACAAATGAGTTCCACCGTTGTTGTTTTTAATGGGCCTACTTTATTGAATAGTTAAATCACTATTTATTTGATGGTGCGGCTTTCAGATGGTAACTAGAAATTAATTGCACCCATTGCAAAACTCTCAGGAGGTTGAATAACTAAAGCTACCCTAAACAAAACCATCGGTAGGTAGCTGAATTCTATTTAGCTTCAGAAGCTCTCCAGTTTTTCCTAACAGCATGGATAATAGATGTTTGCAATGTGAAAATGACACATATTGCAATACTCAAGCAGCTGGATTATTACTCAGAATTCAGGGGCCTCCAGCCTTGGCAACTTTAAGACTTTGCTGGCTGAGGAATTCTGGGAGTTGAAGTCCACAAGTCTTAAAGTTACCAAGGTTGGAGAACCTTGATTTAGATGACTAATTAACTTCAGAACAGTACTTTTCTTTGAGCCTGGTGGTGATCTTTGTCTCCGTAGTAGCATAATAGTATTTTTACCTTGCTTGAGCCCAACGCAGATTTCCTCTAACTCCCCACACCCCTGGTTAATTATGTTAAACAGACTAGCAGACCATATGGATTTTTATTTTTATTTTGCCATGGGCTAATTAAGGTATCGTTTTAGAGTATGTGCTCTTTCCCACCCACCCCCTTTTTAGGCATACTGTGATCCACATATGAGGGCGGTGGATCACAGAATGGTGATTCGTAGGAAACAACAACTGAATGCAAAACTGCTGGTGACCTTCTAACGCTGCACCATAGAGAGTATTTTAACTTACTGCACCTGTGTATGGTTTGCCAATTGCACAGTGGCAGATAGGACAGCA